CTTCGGAGGCCGCCGTTGCGCCGCCCGGGCAGGTGGGGTCGGAGGATGGCGCCGCACCACCGAGCGCATCGGCGATGCATCAGCGACGCCGGGATCGTACGCAAAACACGCATCGGATCTCAACTCATCGCCGACGTGGCGGCGATGCGGCGCCATCGGCCGATCCCACCTGCCCCAACCGGCTACCCGCGAGAGCGGCCCCGGGCAAAAAAAGGGCCATGCGTCCCGTGGAGCCTTGCCATGTCGTCGTCACCCCGGAGGAGGAGGAGGAGGAGAAGGAGGAGAAGGAGGAGGAGGAGGAGGAGGAGGAGAAGGGAGAGGAGGAGGAGAAGGAGAAGGAGGAGGAGGAGGAGGAGGAGGAGGAGGAGGAGGAGGAGGAAGGGAAGAGGAGGGGGAGGAGGAGGAGGAGGAGGAGGAGATGGAGGAGGATGAGGAGGGAGGAGGGGAGGGGGAGGAGGAGGAGGAGGAGGAGGGAGGAGGAGAGGAGGAGAGGAGGAGAAGGATAATGATGATGATGGTGATGATGATGATGATGATGATGAGGAGGAGGAGGAGGAGGAGGAGGAGGACGAGGAGGAGGAGGAGGAGAGGAGGAGGAGGAGAAGAAGGAGGAGGGGGAGAACGAGGGAGGAGGAGGAGGAGGAGGAGGAGGAGGGGGGAGGAAGAGGAGGGGGAGGAGGAGGAGGAGGAGGAGGAGGAGGAGGAGGAGGAGGAGGAGGAGGAGGAGGATGGGGGAGGAAGAGGAGGGGGAGAAGGAGGAGGGAGCGAACGAGCCAGCGGAAGCGCATGTCAGTGACTGGCGCATCGCTGATGACAAGGTGAGGGCGGGGCGATCAGCAAAGCCAGCCACTCCACAAGAAAGCAGGGCCAGAGCGGCACTGCGGGCCGCCCAGGGCGACCGAGCCACGGCGGAAAGCCACCGCGGCAGCTACATTAAGCAGAAAATGGGGGCATTGCAGCCCCATCAATCAGAAGAGTCGGATCCCTCCCCCGAGAAGTCCACCGCCCGAGCCCCGCCCCTTCGAGAATAGGCAGCCGTGGCGGCATCGTCCTGCCGCAGCACGGCAGGCACAGGCTCTAGGAGTTCACCAGATGTGGGGTGCTTCCCGCGCTCAGCATTCAACAGCTTCTTAGCCTGCACCGCGCGGTCGGCACGTGCCTTGACAGCACCTTTACACATCTTCTTCAGGCCGCGACAGTGCCCAGTGGGCAATATCAGACAACAAGTACAAGACAGGCAAATAATGGTTCGGCCGTGCCGAGCTGGCCTGTGATTCAACTCACGGAAGACTTCAAGCCCATCAGTGCCCCGTCCATTGTCTCCCTCGGGAGGCAGAGGAACGAGGGGACCCAGGTCTTCAGGAGGAACGGGGGGGTCCCCAGGACCCAAGAAATCTCCGGCCAGGGCAAGGGCAGCAGAGGCGGCTTGGGACGATTCGGACTCCGAACCAAGGTTCTCAGCGAAGAACAGCTGCGCTCTCCACCTCTGTATGGCAGTCGGGCGGCAGTGCCTGGCAGCGCCACTTCGCAGTCCCTTGAGCGTAGACTGCGGCGACGCTGATGCGTTACATTCCCTGCACCGCCAGATACCTAACTCTGCAAAATGATGCAAGTCGTGCTCAGCCAAATCGAGCCTCGGGCCACTGTGCACGGTCCGACTAGGCTCTGCAGGGCTACCAAGACAGCTGGCCATCGCACTGATAATCTGCACAGCGCTTGAAAGGAATCTCCAGGTCAGCCGATTTTGCTTGAGGTGGGCAGCTTCTGCGCCCACAGCAACTTGAGCGATCTGGTTCACTTGGGCCCCCTAGTCGGGCGAAAACATCGGCCCAGTGGTTACCCAAAAAGTCAAGAATATCCTGTGGTTCGGCGTCGAACACATCTTCGAAACCTCGGTGGGCCTTGGCCCAAACGAAATCAGGATGGCGCCTGCTGGGAGGACATTCCTGGAAAATGTGCCGCCAAACGTCAGCATGCTTGCCTCGGGCAGAGGCTAGAAAAGGACTCCCAGCTTTGGCCCTCCTGTGCAAAGGCCAGGTGGTCGCTACACAGGGCCTCGAACTGGGGAGCTACCTTCAGCGCACACCAGCCCGCGTAGCGCTCAGCGCGGGGACCGACTGGCGCCCAGGCAGCGGACCGTACAAGGCCCTAGCAGGCAGCCCACAAGGGCCCAGCTCGACGACAGCCCATCCACACCTTCGCAGCTCGGGGCTTGCGTTCGCAAGCCCCGAGCCATCGGTGTAGACGCGCCTTCCCCAATCCTCGTTGGTAGCTCCCCAGGCGAGCACAGGGCAGGGCGGGTCGTCTGGCGGCAGCCTGATGGGATGGGTTGGCAAACCAAAGGCAAGCTCAGGGGTGCCCCAATCAGGCCTGCCTAACGCAGACCCCCCAAGGCCCTTGAGAAATTCCCTGCGCTCCAAGACCCCTTCAGGCATCAAATCCAGCTCGAGTTCTTCCGGAGGCGAGAGGACGGAGGGGCAATCGTAGAACTGGCGCACAAGGGTGCCTGGGACCCCCGAACAACAAAGCTCGCAAGCCTCCGAAGAAGCGTAACCCTCAGCCTTCTTGCGCGCTGGGGGCCAGAGAGCGTTGCCTAGGAGACATCTGGCGCAGCCTCTCTTTATATGGTCTCTAATTGACAGAATGCTGCGCCTCAGCGAGCGCCTCTAAATCACGAAACCTCTGTCCGCCTCGGGAATCCTCGCAACGATCCCTGCCATTTGCCAGCGTCCAATACCTTCGCGAAGCAGCGCGCGAACTTCGACAGGCATCGCGGTGTAGAGGCTGATCGAACGCCCGAGGTCGTTGACCAGAGTATGAGCTGCATACATCGTCCAACCAATCCGCTTGAGCGATAGGTAGACTGCTGCCATCGGGCCATGACATCTGGTCCAGTTTGCACCATCAACAATGCTGTGCATGAGCTGCTCCCAGCCACGCTGAAGTAGCGCCACGGAACCGATGTTGCCCCAGAACAGCGCGGCACATCTGCAAACCAAGCCGATCGTGACATCATAAATAGGGTCGTAGTACTCATCCGTCTGCGTGGCCAGCCACGCCGTGAGCCCCGCATGTTCCCGAGCCCCAACTAGCAGCCCTGCCATACTGCGCAGCTTCGCGAGCGTGGAGTCAACAACTCCACTAGTGCCTGAGCCGTGGGCTGCAGCTGGCAGCAGGCCCGCGCGCCAAAGTGCTACCGCCTTGCCTTTGGACCCTCTGATAAGAGCCCTCAGCTTGATCTTCCGCTGCTGGAGCCCCATCAAACGTTTGCGCTCTTGAACTCTGCGCAGTCGGGCTCCTGCCAGCTCGTGGCCAAGGTTGCGAAGGTGTGAGTGGCACTTCAGCTTGAGTAGCGCTGCCATCTTGCCAACAGCTTTGGATGCCTTGGTCGACGAAGTGATGCATCCACTCTTGCCGGCTTGGATGACAAATCCGAAATCAAAAACCTGATGTGTGAACCAGCGCACCGCTCCAAACATGTGCTGCGACCGTTCTGGCTGAGGCCCAGTCCACTGGAAGCTCACGTCGTCCATGAGCGCCCTGGGGGGTGACCTCCACAAACAATCTTCGCACCTGGTGCAGCACTCGTCCCAGCAGTAGATGCATAATGGCACAAGCGTGCGAACATCCCGCCGAGATACCCTGATATGTCGTGTACTCCAGCGAAACCGACCCGTAGGCTTTGATGAGCCTAGGTGCTTGGTACGTGCTGAGTATCACCCAAATCAAGCGCAAAGGCAACTGCTGCTGTCGGGCGTGCGTGAGAAGGTACTCGAGCTTGATAGTCTCGAAACACTTATACATGTCAATCAGCACACTCACCGACGCATGGCCTCGAAGCCGGGCCAGCTCTGAATCTAAGTTGTGTTGGAAAGCCGCGTCCACCGATGTCGCACCTGGACGTGACCCCCAGAAGGCATCACACGGGCGTTGGAGCTCCCATCTCTTGGACAGTGGTCGCCTCAGCCGACTCCATATGTGGACCAATGTACTGATGAGAGCAATCAATCGATGTCCACCGTCTGGTTTTGCCAGTCGAACCAGTCGGGTTTGGAGCCTGCTGTCAGGCCAGCAGCACATGTCCTCGCACTTCATCAGGAGATTTGCCACCATATGTAGTCTTATATATGAGATCACGTCGAGCGACCTTGGCTGCATGCTGATTTGCCCAAGCGCTGTGTGCAACTTGAACTTACGAATCACTCTCCGAACTGGGTCACCAGTGATGGGTGGGAGCTTGTCCCACTGCTGCCAGTCATCAGGACGCTGTAGCTGCTGGCATCCATGCAGGGCCCAGATGGTAGACCAATGATCAATGCAAGCGTCCGCCATCTGGTAAGGCTGGCCCGCATCATCGGTGAAGTCGAGGATTTCCTGCAAAGCTTTCACCTTTGAACAACGATGTGCCAGCTTAGCTCCTGTGAGGAAGGCCTTCTGGGCCCAGTCGGACCAGTCACTAGAGGCAAAAGCACCGATGGCATGAATAACCTTCTCCATTTTGGCCAACACGCTCCGCTCTGTCGAGGAAGTCCGTGGCATAGAAGGTCGTGGCCACATCAGCGATCTCCAGCTGGTCCTCGGCATCCAGCAGGTCGTACACCCATTTAGCCTTGGCAACTCTACAGAAGAAGCCCTGCATGTCCCATGCGAGCTTGGCTAGAGGAGGAGGAGGAGGAGGAGGAGGAAGAGGAGGAGGAGGAGGAGGAGGAGGAGGAGGGGAGGAGGAGGAGGAGAGGGGGGAGGAGAGGGAGAGGAGGAGGTGGGAGGAGGAGGAGAGGGGAGGAGGTGGACGAGGAGGGAGGAGAGGAGGAGGGAGGAGGGAGGGAAGAGGACGAGGAGGAGGAGGAGGAGGAGGAGGAGGAGGACGAGGCGGAGGAGGGGGAGGAGGGGGACAAGGAAGAGGAGGAAAATCGAGATGCGCGGCCTCGCGGGCCGTGCCGAATGTCCCGACAGAGAGCACTGCAACGAAGGGCCGCTCGGCTTCTCTGAGATCCGACGCT